ACATTTTATCTGTTTCACAATCATAATGAACTAAAAATACATGTATTAATCATAATCAAATGTTTATTAACATAAAAAAGGCAATAGCCTGTTACAACGGGGTGATAACAATTACTTATTTTTACATAAACTTTTCAATAAATTTTTATCATTAAATGTCTATTTAATGTAATGATAGAATAACGCTAATTAACAATATAATTGTCACTCCAAAAATGTCGTTCTTAACATAATATATAAATTGTAAATGTCATTGCTGTTCATTCAGTCCAATTTACTGTACATAATTATTTCCATCTCTCGATTAAATTCTTAATTCTCACTAATGTTTACATTTCGTTTGTATTTCTCATTACATCCATAAATTACATGAAATTTTGACAATTTTGGTTACCACATTTACAGCATCCATGTTGATCATAATCTATATAATTATTTTCAATATTTAAAACTTTTCGATTATGTCCTCATTGAATGAAGAACTTTTTCACATTAAATGGGAGATTTAGAATGCAATAATAAATATTTTAGATAGAAAAATGTTTAGTAAATAAATACTCTATATATATATTACTATATTAATAAAATATATATATATATATATATATATATAACTGAATGTCAAAAAACTATTATAATACTTGTAGAATAAAATTCAATTGAAATACATTATTCTATCTTTATGATAAATGGCATTTGTTCAGTAAGAAATAAACCTTTGCAAGAGCTTTGGAAACATTATGTATCAAAGAAGAGGCAGCTAAGATTAAAACAGTAATTATAGATTACTGTTTGAAGTTGAAAGTTTGTAAAAAATATTGTACAGATTACCGAGTGTAAATAAATAGTTTGACAATGCAACCACAAACTTTTCTTTTAATTGCAATAATTTTTTATTGGTTTGTATATATATGAAATTTAAAGGTAAGTTTATGGTCAAGCATTGCTTCTACATTGGTAATAGTTTGAACATAAGAAATACTGTTATTGTTAATCACAAAGGTAAGTAATTAAAGAATATGTATGTAGGAAAAACAAATGGTGACTGTTTTATTTAATTTAAATTTATAGATAGACTAGCTGCAAGGACCCACTTTGCTGGGTTCTTATTTGTATGTAATATAGTTTTTTTATATATAAAAGACTGTTTTTCTAAGTAATCTAGAATCTATCTGCAAGGACCCACTTCGCTGGGCAAAAAGTAACGATAGTGAAGATTAAGATAATTACATTATAGCCAATCTTACCCGTTTTCACAGAATGCAAAATTAGGTCCCCCGTTTCCAGACTAATTAGATAATTTTTACGTCCAGTCAAACGAACTATTTTCAATTTGATCAATTTTCTGGAACGTTTACAATCGTTCTATAATCGAACCAATTCGAATTTGAAAATTTTGAAAATCGAAATAGAAAGACTGTTTTTGTAAGTAATCTAGAATCTAGCTGCAATGACCCGCTTCGCTGGGCAAAAAGTAACGATAGTGAAAATTAAGATAATTA